TATGTCTGAGATCCAACTGCTTTGCTACCTCAGTTCTTTTGGGGGTGGTGCTATGTAGTTGGTGATTTTTGGGACCCAGTGGTGCAGTCTCTCAGATCTCCTGAGCTGGGTATTCTAGTGGAGCCTCCTACTTGAACTATTTGGGTTCTCCTGATATAGTTGGGTCTTGAATGTTAGTTTCTCATTCATGGAAGAAGTCTCATCACTGGTTGTCTGATGGTGTGATTCACCCCCAGCCTCTTTATGCAAGCTATTGTGGATGTGCTCATGGATCTGGCTCTTGTGAAAGGGTTGCTTGAGTTCTCACTGGTGTGGGTTCATTGTCAGATCCCAGAGTCCACAGCCTGGGAGGAAGGGGTCTTGGGGCCTGAGGATCAAGTCATGTGACTCTGGCCAGTGTTGTGTGACTGTTCCTGGGGTAGCGATACTCTGCAAGTCACTGCGAGGGTTTCGGACTCCATGACAGTGGGAAGGCAGCTCTCTCGTAGTCTGTGGATGAGGCAGTTAGACTCTGGCCAGGGTAATTTCACTCTGAGAATCCCTCAGGGATCCAGGAGCCAGTGGCTGGGGATGCGGGAATATCGGAGTCTATGGCTGAAACAGTGCGACCTTATCCAGGGAGGCAAGCCATTAGTAGCTCACTGAGGGGTCCAGAAGCTGGCAGCCCAGGAGGGGGAAGTCTCAGTTTGTACTGAGGGAGCCATGCGCCCTTAGTTGGAGAGGCATGTGCCCAGCAGCAGCTCACGGAGGGTCCCAGAAGTCGCCTGCCAGGGCAGTGGGCTTGTGGTGCCCACATGCTAGAGCGGGGTGACTGCTGTGTCTAGAAGCCAGCAGCTGGGGAGGGGCAAGTCACGATTTCTGCTGAGGGAACCATGCACCCTTGGAGGTGGATATACTGGGGTCTGCAGGTCAGCGGGTGAGGCAGCATGACTTTGACTAGAGTGGCTGCAGGATCCCAGGCAGTGTCCAAGGACAGTCTTGGTGGTGGTGAGGCTGGGTTCCTAGTGGGGGCTGCTCTCCCCTTCAAGATGTCATGGTCTCCTTGCCCAAGCCCCTCAGCCCAGGGAGTGCCCACAACAGTGGAAAGTGGCTCCCCCTTCAGGAGAGTCTGGTTTGTCAGCCCTGATACTCCTGCAGGATCTAACTGTCCCTCACTCACATGCACACACCACACATACCCCTTTCACTCCCTCACTCATTCACAACCTCTTCCTCACTGCCGCCCTGCCAGCCTCCATCTTTCTGTGAGGTTTTGATTTTTTAATACCCCCCAATCTGATACTTTTAAAATATCTGATTTGATTTTAGGGGTTGGCATTTTTTTTTTCTCTTAGAGGCCAGGTAGCATAAATATATTAGGCTTTGCAGAACACAAAAGGTCACATATTCTTCTTTATGTGTTTATTTTTGTTTTTATAAGTAAGTAAATATTTTTTAAAGTTATAGTTCAGAGTCCAGACTAGATTTAACCCAGAGCTGTAGTTTACCAATCCCTATTAAAAATTTTTAGTGTGGTATACAATCAGCTGCCTCACTTTGGATAGCGATGCCTTCTTCATAAGTAATAACTGGTGTTTTGAAAAGGCCTGAGTGAGACAAAGTGCCTGCTTTCTTTCCATCAAAATCTTGGCCTTCTTTTAAGAAACACTAAGTATATATTTTACTGTGATTATGATTCTCTCTAGGGCCTGATTAACATGAAATACATGTGAGAATAAAAATGGAGAGTAAACAGCGACTTAACAAATTTATCCAGCAATCAAAAGGAATGGAAGCTCTTTTCACATATTTAACCCCCAGGATACTAATAAAAAGAAAGGCATTTCCCCCTTTTTCAGATATATTACTTGAGACTCTAAGATAGCACTGTCCAGTAGAAATTTCTTTAGTAGTTGAATTATTGTATATCTATACTCTACAATATGCTGTAGAGCACTTGAAATGGGGCTAGTGTGACTGACTAAAGAACTAAGTTTTAAAACTTTATTCATTTTCATTAATTTGAATTTAAATAACCGCATGTACCAAGTATTTACCATATTGAGCTGCATAACTCTAAGAGATTAAGTAAATTGCCCAGATTTAGACCATATATTTCACAATTTCAAGTTAAAACCAGGTCTGCACAACTTCTAAACTCATGTTTTTTCCATTATGCCACACTGCCTCATCAGTAAAAGTCAAGGTGTCTTGGCCATTGTGGATAATCCTGCAGTGACCATAGAGATAAATATACCTTTATGAATATATGTTTTAAATTTTCAGGTAGATACTCAGAAGAGGGATTGTTGGGGCATACGGTATCTCTTTTCTTAATTTGTTAAGGAACCTCTATATTGTTTTTCATAGTGGCTGTACCAGTTTATATTCCCACCAGCAGTGAATGAGGGTTCCTTTTTCTCCACAATCTCTCCACACTTGATATTACTTGTCTTGTTGATAATGGCCACTCTAACAGGTGTGAGGTGGTATCTCATTGTAGTTTTGATTTTCATTTCCCTAATACAGTGGTTCTCAACCTTGGCTGCACATTAGAATCACCTGGGAATCTTTTTAAAATCCTGATTTCTGGGTCTCATCTTCCGGAAATTCTGTTTGTTACTAATGTTGTGGCCCCACCCCATAACAAAGAAACAGAACTTCTGGAGGATGAGGCCCAGAAATCAGGTTGAGAACCACTGCCCTAATAGCTAGTGAAGTTGAGCCTCTTTTCATGTATCTGTTGGCCATTTGTATGTCTTCTTGGGAGAGCTGTCTCTTCAGGTCCTCTGCCCATTTTTAAGTTGGATTCTTTGTTTGTTTGGTGCTGAGTTGTATGAGTTCTTTATATATTTTAGATATTAACCCATTGTCAGAGCTGTAGTTTGCAAATAACTTCTCTCATTTGGTTGGTTGCCTTTTTGTTTTGTAGGTTTCTTTTGCTGTGCAGACTTTTTTAGTTTGATATAGTCCCATTCATTTATTTTTGCCTTTACTTCCCTTGCCTTTGGGGTCAAATTATAAAATCCTCTTTAAGATCAAGGTCCACAGTTTTGGACCTATGTTTTTCTCTATGTAATTTATACTTTCAGGTCTTATATTTAGGTCTTTGATCCTTTTTTAAGTTAATTTTTATACATGGGGACAAATTGTAATCTACTTTCATTCTTTTGCATATGGCTTTCCAATTTCCCTAGCACCACTTATTTATTTTTTAAGTAGCTTTGTATTGGTTTTGATTTTAGAGAGGGAGGCAGGGGAGAGAGAGAGAGGAGAGAAAGATGAGAGATGAGAGAGAAACATCGATCAGTTCCCTCCTGCATGCAACCCTGGCTGGGGACTGAACCTCCAACCTGGGCATGTGCCCTGACCAGGAATCGAATTGGCAACCTTTTGGTGCATGGAATGGCCCTCAACCAACTGAGCCACACTGGCCAGGGCCCCAGCACCATTTCTTAGGAGCACTGGCTTTTTTGACTTTCTCTGAATGGCGTATTTCACTCAGCATAATATTCTCCAGGTCCATTGATGCTGTCATAAATGGTAAAAAAATCCTTATTTTTTATAGTTGCATAGTATTCCATTGTGTAATTATATCATGCTGTATTGATTACTGTTGCTCTGTAGTATATTTTGAAGTCAGGTAGTGTGATTCCTCCAGCTTATTTCTTTTTACTCAGCATTGTTTTGGCCACTCAGGGTCTTTTGTGGTTCCACACAAATCTGATGTATTTTTGTTTTGTTCTATTTATTGAAAAAAATACCATTGGGATTTTAATGAAGATTGGTTTAAATGTTAATTTGGCCATTTTAATTATGTTGATTCTTCTAGTCCATGAACACGGAATATCTTTCCATTTTATTGTGTCTTTTTCAATCTCTTTTAATAATGCCTTTTAGTTTTCAGTATGTAGGTCCTTTACATCCTTTGCTAAGTTTATTCCTAGGTATTTTATTCTTTTTGTTGCAATTGCAAAAGGAATTTTTTTCATTTCTCTTTATGGTATTTTATTTTTATTATATAGGAATGTAGTGGATCTTTGTACATTGGTTTTCTATACTGCTACTTTACTGTATTTGTTTATTGGTTCTAATATTTTTGTAGTGTTTAGGGTTTTCTATATAAAGATTTATGTCATCTGCAAAGAGTAACAATTTTACTTCTTCATTCTCTATTTGGATACCTGTTATTTCTTTCTCTTGGTTGATTGCTCTTGCTAGGATTTCTAACACTATGTTGAATAAGAGTGGTAGGAGTGGCCATCCTTTTCTTGTTCCTGATCTTAGACTAAAAGCTTTTAGTTTTCACCATTGAGTATGATGTTAGCTGAGGGTTTGTCACAAATGTCCTTTATTATGTTGAGATACTTTTCTTCTGTACACTTTTGGTTGGGTGTTTTAATCATAAATGGATGGTGTATCTTATCACATGCTTTTTCTGCATCTGTTGATAACATCATATGATTTTTATCTTTTGTTTTGTTCATGTGGTGAAATCCATTGATAGATTTGCATATGTTGAACCATCCTTGTGCCCTTGGAATGAACCCCACTGGATAGTGATGTATTATTTTTTAATTTTATTCAATTTTAATTGTATTCAATTTGCTAGTATGTTGTTTAGGATTTTTGCATTTGTATTTATCAGAGATATGACTTTGTAGTGGTTTTTTGTTTGTTTGTTTTTGTGTGTTTTTTTTAGTGTGTTATCCTTGCCAGGTTTTGGTATTGGGGATATGTTGGCCTCATAAAATGTGTTAGGAAATATTGCTTCTTTAATTTATGAAACAGTTTGAGAAAGGTATAAAATCTTCTTTGAATGGTTGGTAGATTTCACTAGTGAAGCCATATGGTTGTGGACTTTTACTTTTGGGGAAGTTTTTGATGGTTCTTTCAATTTCCTCACCGTTTATCTTTCTATTTAGATTTTCCAGTTCTTCCTGTTTCAGGATAGGAATGTTATGTAAATAACCACTGTGTCCTTCCATAGATGATGGATAAAGAAGTGGAACATATATACAACGGAATACTACTCAGCCATAAGAAAAGATGAAATACTACCATTTGCAACAACAAGGATGGATCTTAAGAATATCATGCTTAGTGAAATAAGTCAGACAGAAAAAGTTAAGAATGACATTATTTTACTCAGCCTGGATAATTGAAAGCAACAAATAAACAAGCAAACATAAACTCATTAACACAGATAACAGTATGCTGTTACCAGTGGGAAGTGGTTTTGAGGGATAATAAAGGGTAAAAGAGTTCAAATATATGGTGACTGAAGATTTGACTTTGGAAGTAGAGCACACAATACAATATACAGATGTTGTATCATAGAGTTGTACATTTGAAACCTATATAATTTTTGGAACCAATGTCACCCCAGTAATTTTTATTTTAAAAAATAATAAAAAGTGTATATGGAAAAAAAAAAACAGTCAAGGTGAATGAACCCTGTCCGCATGAGTAGAAAATGTAGCAAAGATACTTAGGCATTTTTAAGCTATATTATCTTTTTAGCCTACAGTTTAGTTAATCAACCCTGACTCTGGACCACTAGATCATAATTACCAAGTAGTACCTATGAGTTTTTTATAGTCTACATTTATTATTATTACATTATGCAAAGTAAGATGATTATACTCTGAGAACATTAGCGTGTTGAAAAATTTTCAGGTATTAGTATATGTCAAAAGTGGTTTTTTTTTAATATATTTTATTGATCTTTTACAGAGAGGGAGAGGGATAGAGAGTTAGAAACATCAATGGGAGAGAAACATCGATCAGCTGCCTCCTGCACACTTTCTACTGAGGATGTCTCCGCAACCAAGGTACGTGCCCTTGACCGGAATCGAACCTGGGACCCTTGAGTCCACAGGCCAACGCTCTATCCACTGAGCCAAACCAGTTAGGGCAAAAGTGTTTTTATTATATCTAAGGAGTAAGGTCTAATCAGGTGTTTCAGAAATAGTTTATAAATGTTATAAGAATTGACATTGTTCAGATAATCATTTCAGGGCTTTATTACCTAAATTTCCCAAGTACCAGGGAGAGCATTATTGCTGGCATCAGTTTTAATATGCTATTTATTGACACCTGACATAGGTATGGAGTGGAAATCTTGTTATTTGATTAGTAAATACCTACTGGATATAAGAAATAAAAAATGATGTCTTGGGAAGGCATGCCTAGATAAATCATTATGTGATACTATATGTGCTAGTGGGAGGCTTGAAGAGGGAAAAAGTGGACAAATTTTCTCTGATTAGTATTGAGTCTTCATTTTACTCTGTATTTCTGGAATCTCAGTTTAAATCAGAGTCATGCCTAGTTTAAACAGGAAATTATTTAATTAGTTCCTGTAGCTTTCTTTACTCCACTCAGAAAATATTGAAAAATGTTTCAGGAATGAAATATAGGCACTATTAGAGAACGTTTAGAAATTTTTGGCCAGGATTTCTTCCAGTTCTGCACAATTACACTTGCATGTAAGCCAAAGAGACCTCTTCTCTCTGGATGTTCTTTATTGATTTCAGCAAGTCTTCTTTCCCTTCTAAAGAATCAAGATCTTAAAATATTTGTTCCCTGGAAAGCTTTTCATTTGGCCTGTTGGATATGTAGTTTTGGGAAATTACTTTGGTACTTGAATAAACACTGGAATACTTCGTTCTTAGATCCTGTAATTTTCCTGCATTTTAAATTCAAATCAAATTATATAAAGAACACAG